TGGACAGGTCTCCATCACGGAGACACCTGGACAGGTCTCCATCACGGAGACACCTGGACAGGTCTCCAAGTCCATCACGGAGACACCTGGACAGGTCTCCAGTCCATCACAGACTCAGGTACAAGACACCCAGATACCTGGACTCCACCCCTTTACAGAACCACCACCGCAGTGTGGTGGGGGGCTTTGAAAAAAACCCTGATCCCGGGGACTATGTGAGGGATGTTAGACCTATAGGGTCTCTCCAGAGAGAGGTCAGACCAGGAGCGGTTCAAAAACCTTGATGGATCAACCACAGTAGCATCAGGAAACCAGGGCACCCCCACCCCCCAGAGCCAGGTCTGGGGGACCTGGTGGCTCCTGGAGCTTGGCTGGACCAAACTCTAAAGAGTGACAGGATCCAGGACCATCAGGGTCTGGTCCTTCTCCACTTTAAAAGGAGCCGCCTGTCAAACAGAAACAGTTTGTTTTTAAAATAATAAAATATCAAAGATTTTATTGATACAACAGAAGTTCATGTCCACGAAGAGTTCTGAAGACAGATCCAACTAGACCAGCAGACCAGGTTTGGTTCAGGTTCACTTTTCTGCAGGAAGGTTTCTTCTCTGGGTAAATGATCAGTCTGTGGTTCTTAAAGAAGACAACCCATGACCCAAGGTTTTGAGGTTCCTCAGGATTATTCAGGAGCCCCGAGTTAATATTTATCAGGGGGTGACACAGGGGGCCCGGGGCCCGCTGCCTGCAGGAAGGTGGCCATATTGAAATGAGAAGACGGACTTTAATAATGCATCTGTCCCACAGGGGCCACCCAGAGAAAACTGGCTTCATGGAGGACGGAGACACCAGAAGTTTTCTCATGATCAGATCCAGGAGCTCCTCAGACTGCAAGTCCAACCCCCTGACCTTTGACCTCTGTCCCTGATTTAAACAGAAAATATTATATACGTGACAGGTTCTGTTAAACATGTCTCTGTGTGGACATGTTGGTTCTGTTGGGCATGTTTCTGTGTGGACTTGTCGGTTCGTCTCTGTCCTCTGGACCAGCGGGTCTAAATGAAGACAGACAGCGTCCTCAGCTGTCTCTGTAATTGATTCCTAAGTGGACGTGTTCTGGAGGCTGTGGACCGATCACTCGCGGCTCTAATAGAAATGAACGAGGCGGGCCCGACCCGTGATCCATCATCGGCGCTGACACCAGCAGCAGTTGTCTTCCTCTGACGCGTGTGTGATAATCAGCTGCTGATGGACGAAGACGAGGACGGAGGTCAGAGCTGAGGAAGACATGTCTCCTTCATGTCACACTGCTCCACCAGACCAGGAAGTGCAGAAGAAGACAACACTTTTTCCCAGCTAAAGGCCTGATCCCAGACAAAGACTTGATCCCAGCTAACGATCTGATCCCAGCTAATGACCTGATCCCAGCTAACGACCTGATCTCAGCTAACGATCTGATCCCAGCTAAAGGCCTGATCCCAGC